GAAAAGGGTTTTTTCCCATCTTTCTTAGTCATGATTTGGATGCTTCCCTGTCCAGTCCTGTCCCCCTCATGTTTTGTCCTTTTCCAAACTCCACCTCTTGAATGTAACTGTTAATTAACACTGTTAATTAACTGTATTAACACTGTATTAACGAATGGAACTGAATTACCACTGTTAATTTCCACCTCCAAAATCAACTCCAGCAACATGAGTTCCAGCACTGCTGGAATTCAGTATTAACACTGTATTAATGGATGGAACTGAATCAACACTGTTCATTTCCATCTCCAAAACAAACTCCAAGCAACATGAGTTCCCACACTGCTGTCTCCAACCTTGTGCACCAATGACACCCCCAAACCTGCCACTCAGCACACAGCAGGGTCACCCTCTACCCCCACGTTCTCCCCTTTTTCTCTACTCAAACTTCTGTGCTTCTGCTCAGGATGTTTCAATTACTCCTCTCTCCTGAGCCTCAGGATTCACCTCTTCCCTTGGACACCCTGGCTGCCTGGGCATCCCCCAGGAAGGAACAACCCACTGGACCTGCACAGCTCATCTCCCAACTTACCTCAGTTCCCCTTCAAACAGTGGGAGGGAAGGGATGCACAGGGGAAGGGAAGCCCTGCCCAGCCAACCAGCTGTTCCTGCTCTCACAGAGGAGAACCTCTTCCTGGAAGTCATAAATCACTTTGGATTTGTGCTGGCACAGAGAGCAGAGCAGGAGCATCTCGCAGGAAGCAATTAATTGTCACTTGCTCTCAGAACACCCTCTCCAGCAGCAGGAATGGCAGCAGCTCCAAGGGTGCACCACTGCCACTGGGATTTTGTACACTGATCCATCTTCCTGGGGCTGGGGTGTGTCTCTGCACGGGGACAGCCCACAGCTGATCCACCAGTGTGGACACATGGCTTCTCCTCAGGGACAAGCCAGTGCTCTTCCTAACTGCAGCAAATAGGAATTTTTTTCTCCATGGTTGAGCAGTAGCTGCTTTCATTCCAAATCTGAAATGTGTAGCTTGCTCAGAGGACAACACTTCAGAAGGAAGAGGAATGCCTAATAGCTGTTCATATCAATGTGTTGGGAGTTAAGGGGCTGGAAGTCAGGGAAGGGAAAAAACCAAATATAGAAAACAGTCTGCTATGTGCAGATTGACTTAAAACCAAGGATGAAATGGAGGAGGGGAAGGTCTCAGGAAATCTGATGCTTTTAGGTTGTAATGGAAGGAGGCTCACATTGCCAGGCAGAAAATGGCGTGTGAAGGATCATTAAGATGAGAGTATCTGTGTCTCTGCAGAGGACCACTGCCAACGAGGTGAGAGTGCCTGGAGCACTGAGGGAGAACAGCTCCTCTGATCCTGATAACATTATGTGTATTAATTAGACTGAACAGCTTAGGGATGTGAATATGGACGAGGCTCAAAAATTCCTTAGGAAGAGCCTGGAAGTAAATGGAAAGTAAAATAAAATGCAGCGCGGATGTAGCAAAAACTATGTTTGGGTTTTGTTTGGTAACATTTGCTAGAAAATAAAAGTTGATAAAATCTAATCCAGTTGGACCTTATTAAAGCATCTGACACAGTAATGGGAAATCAGAGAGACACGGAAGGGATGGAGAAGAGTAACAGCAGTGTAATGCAGAGGCAGAATCTGTGAGTGAGTTAAACAACAAAAAGCTACACTGGAAGGAAAACTCTCATGTTCCTATTTCCAGACATTGATTTCTGCTGTTGTTGGAGCCAAGGATTTCTCTGGGGTCTCATCTTGGTACCCTCAGGAATGTAACAACAAAGGAGGAACCGCAGCAAGGAAATCTGCCTTGGGCACCCAGCTGGTCGACGGGCTGTCAGTGGCTGGGTCCCACGGTGCAGGGAAGCTGGTGATCCTGAGGCCTGGAATAATGGAATTGCAATGCATTCAACTTATTCAAGGAAGGTCTGTCATGGTTTTGAGAATCTCTTACCCCTGCTGTGATAACCTGCAGCAAGTGCACTCGGAGAGCTCAGCAGTGCTGAGGCTTCCTCTGGGATTCTCTGTCCAGTTTTGGGCAACAAACCTGAAGGGAGAGGTGAAAGAGCCAAAAACAGCCAGAGGAGGGAAATAAGGATGGGGAGAAATGTAACGAGCTGCCTGGGAGGGAAGAACTGGAGGTGATTAGGCTTGAGCAAGAGAGGTTCCAGAGGTCAGATGTTAACAGCCCTGAAGTAAGGAAAGGGCTGCCTGCCTTAAAGGAAAGCAGCAGCCTGTTTTCTGTTCCTGCTGCTGAGGGGAAAGTCAATAATGGAGCAGCCTTAGCCTGCAGTGGGGAGATTTAGTTTAAGCTTCGTGAAAACCTTTTTTAATGAAAATGATAATTAAGTACTGGGATAGATTGCTAAGGGCACTGCAGAATAGCCACCTCTGGAAGCTTTTATTGCACAAAGGTCTCTCAGGAATAATTTTGGCATATTTATTCATTAAGAAGAAAAATGAAGTTGTTAATAGGTATCACCTTTTCTCGAGTAGACTCCACTCACACTGTCTTCTCCTCCTGTTTGTCCTCTTTGGCCCTACATGGACCATCTCCCACCAGTGAAAGGAACTGATGGTGCTGATGGCACTCTTGACAGTACCCAGGTAAACTAGTTGGTATCAGCCTTCTCATTTCTCAAGGAACACATATTTCATGGACCTGGCTGTATCAGGACCTTTGCAGGGCTGGATTTACCCTCTGCTGCCCTTCTTCCATCTCAACAGGGAAGCAGAGCTGTGCACCACTCCTCGCACCCAGAAAACCCACTGTATCCTCTGTGTGGGGTCAGAATGTGACCCTTGGAGAAAGGCTTAAATCCCAGACAAGCCTGTTGCTCACTTAAGCACAGAGATATCAGAGCATCAGAGGCTGGAAAGGGGGACAGTACCTCCAAGCACAAGTCTCCACTGGCCCTGGTCTCCTGATGCTCTGAGGGCCCCTGCCCCTGAGAGAGTCAGACCTTCACAGCAGTTGCAGCAGAGCAGGGAGAACTTCAGGAGAGGCTCATTATAACCAAAAACCCATTTGCTCCATCACAGAGCAGCGATTGGAATATTGAACCTTCACTCAGCTGAGCCAAATGAGAATTGTTCTCCTCTGAGCTGCAAGTTGTGCACCCCTTTACACAGCACAGAAGGCACCAGGTGGACCTGGAAAGGCTCCACTTCCATTTGACATTGAGGAATGTATCTGCTCGTGCCCAAAGTGCAGAGCAAAAGGGAACAAGCCAGGCATACTGCTTATTTCCCAAATAATTTCTCTTGTTTGTAAGCAGGAAAAAACTTTTAAATTACAGGATGCAATATTTGAAAGTTTACTGCTTCAGGCAGCTGCTTATTGCCCCTGGGTGGGACTGTCTTGTCAGGATACTCAGGGTTTATTTAATGCACAAACCTGGGGCAGGCCAGCTCTGTTTAAAATGGAAGCTTTCATTTCAGTTCTCTTGAAGACATGGTGTATTTGGACATCAGGAGGAATCTCTGCATGGAATGGGTTGTTAAACGTTGGCAGGGCTGCTCAGGGAGGTGGTGGAGTCCCCACCCCTGGAGGTGTCCAAGGAGGGACTGGTCGTGGCACTCAGTGCTCTGGGCTGGGGAACAAGGTGGGGATGAGGCACAGGGTGGACTTGGTGATCCCAGAGGGCTTTTCCAACCTAAATGATTCTGGGATTCTTTATGGGTGAGCTCCAGTTTAAAGGATATGGCTGGATGTGCGTGGGAGGTGCTCAAGGGGGAATAAGTGCATGTTATAGTAAGGTGAACTGTTTGCAGCATGTATAGGATTTCTGAGGGAGATTTTAAAAACCTTCAGGGCCCCACTCACAGTCCAGTGGATGGACTTGTGTTCCTGTTAGCCCTGGGGATAGTTTGGAATGTCTTCTCGAAGTCTTCTCGTATCTTCTTTCGTGTGTACAACCAGATGAGCTTGTTCACAGTTGCATCTTATAAGGTGAAGAATTTGCTTCTGAACTTTCAAGGGGTAATAGTGCAAGGAATTTACTGGAGAACCACAAATCACATCATAAACTCCCCATAAAATATTTAAAACAGTCAGTCTAGAACAAGAATGTTATTCTCCATTAAACACCTCAAATTGAATTATGTTCCCACTTCAGTCAAAGACAAAATTCCATTGATTACTGTAGATCTGGAGTGACACTTTATTAATTGGTTACAAAATTCTATTAAAATATTACTACTGTAAATTAATTTGGGTGATGTATTCAATCAATTTTAATGGAATTACTTATTTTTCATCAGGCTTTGTTTCTTTACATTGTTGCTTATCACGGGGGCATGATCTTATTACAAAAAATATTGTTTAGCCTGTTTTAATGGGAACATAAATACTATCGTTGTTTATGTTCCTTCTGCCTCTAAACTATGCTGGTGTGAGTGGATCTCACCAAAAATCTTGGCCTGATTGTACAAAAGACCCTTGTTTAAGAAACATATATATTTCACAGTCCTGCAGCAAATAACCAACACAATGTTTGTGGTCTGTGTGATAGTGGAAAATGTTGTAAAGCCACGAGGAGATTGCAAGGCAATACTGCTGCTTCTAAAAAGAAGGTTGTAAATGAGTTTGACCTATATGGGTTACAAGAGAAATATTAACTTTCTCTGAAAGGATGGTAATTAGGACAAACATAGAGAGCTATGTTTATTCTCTGAAACAGGAGATATTTTTTCATATATTTCAGCTTACCTTCCTCTGCTGAATAAATTCTCCATGCAACCTTCCATTAAGCCTACAGTAAATCAATCCCTTAGTGAATGCTTTTCTTTTAAACCATTATTATCTTGTCTTTATTCACTGTTATCCCTGCTTTCCCAGGCAGGAAAAAAAAAAAAACCCAGCCGCTTTCCTCTGCTCTTCTTTGCAATAGGCCAGGATTTCATACCACAGTGTAATTTTAAGCCCTTTATTACTGTTTAACACATAAAATGGGCCCCAAAGCCAAAGCAAAGCCACGCAACCCAAAAGCCATTCCGAGCTACTATTAGAACAACATTAAAAATTCACCTTCCCGTGCACTAAAACTGTCCTTGCTGCAGCATCCTCGCCCCAGCAGAGCCCACTGGGGGATGGCTGCAGCTCCAAACCACGGCCCCAAGAGCAGCAGCTGTGGGGCAGGAGGCAAAGGCAGGTTTCCATCCATCCAGGCAGACAAGGATGCAGAAGCAGGGAAAGGCAGGAGGCACCTACACATACTGACTTTTGGAGTAGGATCCCTCGGCCTTGCTGTGCAGGCGCTGGCTGTGAGGGGAGTGGAGGGTCGGGGATGAGTATCTGTGGCTCCTGGGATTCTCAGCGCAGCGGGAAGAGCAGCAGAACGTGGATCCAGCGGCCACGAGGCAGAAGGAGGCCACCCAGCCCAGGTACAGGGCCTCTCCAAGCTCCCTCTTCTGCGCAACGTTGACCACGGGGTTGTAGAAGTCGCTGATGATGGAGTTGGCGACCCAGCAGACTGGGACGAGCTCGACGACGCCTGAGAGGATGAAGAGGAGCCCAGCAGCCAGCAGGATGCAGCCTTTGGTTTGCCAGGGGCTCTGTGGGCACCGTGTGCACCTCATCCCAACCATGGCCAGCACGAGGGCGAGGAGGGACAGCCCTGAGCCGGCACACATCAGCCCCCGGGACGCCTGCAGGTCCGGCGAGAGCGCCAGCACTGAGTCGTAGACCTTGCACTGCATCCTGATGTTGACTTGCCTGATGCAGTGCATCCAGAGCCCTTCCCAGATGGTCTCAAACACGATGATGTTGTGCTCGATGAAGGCAGACACCCTCCACTGGGGCATGGCCGTGACGGCGAACGTGCCCACCACACCAAGGCCCCCGACGAGCAGCCCCGCGACCTGCAGAGCCCCGCCGGCCATCCTGCCTGGGCCGGGGGGGCACGAGTCAGCGGGCAAAAAACAGAGCAGCTTCTTCAAAAAGCCGCTGTCCCAGAGGTTTCAGAGTCAGGCTGCACCACCTTAAATCAGCTGAAATCTGGCACGGACTCCCCGGGACTTGGCTGCGCCTCCATGGCCTTTATAATTCCCCCGGCACCAGCGCTCCGAGAGGCAAACTGAGCAATCCAGTGGAACAACTTTCCTGAGCAAGAGAAAGGACAGGGTGTGTGTAAACCAGCAGGAGCCACTTAGGATAAATGTACCTTCTGAGGCAAATGCTTTGCATTGAAGTTGCTTAATTAAATAAATAAATAAATAAATAAATATACCCCAAGCCCTGCCCTTAAGCCTGGCTGTGTTCTGAAGGTTTGTCCGTGCTGAGGGAATGGACCAGACTCTGCAAGAAGACTTGGGGGTGAGACTGGTGCAGTTACTGGGGCTGTTCCTGAAAAAGCAGGAATATTCTGCCTTGGCTCGGTGGCAAAGTTCCAGGAGGAAGGCAGAGCCTGCTCCCTGCCACTGGGCCTCTGCTCCCAAAAGCACTTTTGTCCCAAAGCTCCCGGGAGAGCACTGCAGTGACAGGATTCAGCAACAAAGCAAATCCAAAGGATAAAGAGAAAGTAACTCTAAACCTGAAAGAGTTCTGCAGAGGACAGTCAAATCTGCAAAAGAGCATTTAAGGGGGAGAAAGGAGACTCAGTCCTACTAATACCATATACAGCCCTATACATTTCTCTTGCTCCATGGTGTTTATGGGAATAGACAGGCTTCCAGAGGTATCCACATGCACACTCAGGTCTACAGAGTGGGGATTTAACTATGGAACAAATTGTTTTCCTGTGCAAAAGTGAACCCGGGAATTAGCCTGTGTTGGAGTCCAGTGCAAGGGGAAGCATCAGCACTCCAAGACCTGTTAGAGCTATACCTATACCAACAAATACTTTAGAAAAACATCATTTTAATTAAACAGAAATAATTAAACATAAAAATTATGGAGAGGAGGTCCATTCAAGACTTCTTGTGTAATGCTACCAGTGGACAATCCTGAAAAATGTCAGGTGAATGAATCTGTGAAAATCAGACCAACAGAAACCACAAAAATCTAGGGAAAAAAAACAAAACAGACATGTAACAGTAGATTCTTTTTACAAATTCTGATAGCTACAAATATATGCATGAAATATTCAGCCTGATCTTTGTGTGTGCCCTAAAATGGAAAAAAAATCAGGCATTAATTAGGATTTTTTTGTTTGTAAAGTAGTACTCCATATGTTAAGATAAAACCTAATTTGCTACACTGTAAAAGATCAGTTTGGGATATAACTACCTAGATACTGAAATACAAGCCTGCTGCTATTCATCTGAACTTTCTTGCCTCTAGTTTTCTTCTTGCCATTTATATCTCTCCAAAACCAGAAAATAAATGCAAAAGAAACAGAGTGGTGCAGTGCTAAAGATACCACCTCGCTGGCATATCAGAGACAAAGATAAAAGCCCCATTTACATGCAATATTTTATGCTCCCCAAGTGTGTTTCTCTGTGTGTGTGTGTGTGTGTGTAAAACTATGGTTAGGAGGGAAGGCAAAGTCAGAGTCACTTTACAAACCCTTCCATCCCCAGTTTGGCTTTCAAATCCACTGGTTTTCCCAACCTCTGCAGCAGGTTGCTGCTTGTAAAAACATGGTAAAGCATATAATAATGTAATTACCATGGCATGGCTTTGCAGCCCCATGGTTGCCACTCAAATAGCAAAGAAAAAGCTCCCAGCCTACAGCAGAACAAATAAACAAGTACTTTAATAATATATCAGTAAGTAAACACAAATGTGGTACAAGCAGCAGGACTGATTTTTCTTAGAGACTAGTGAAGTTCTAATTTACAGGACATGGAAAATAATTAGCTGAGCAAATATAATTTAACCACGTTATTGATTAATTTACAAACCCATTAAAGCTCCCATATAAAGTCATGGTAAGATTGTGTCTGCATCAAGGATTCAGTACTTGCACATTCTTAGAAGGATTAAATTTAAGTGCCTTATCTTGCTTAAAACCATTTTCAGGAGGAAATGTGGGGAAATCTTATTTAGCATTATGGATTGCATCTGCTTGTTTACAATTAAAACAGAATTTTTTTGTGAGGGGGCAAGTCATGAATTTCATTATTCATTCTGTGTATTCAAACATGTCATTTCATCATGGGCAAATATCAGAAATGCCTAT